AAAAAAAAAAAAAATATGTTGTAATAACCTGAATATTATCAAATCAAGTTGGAAATAACTATTTTTAACATATTTACAATGACATCTGCTTAGGAGCAGGAACGTATTTCTTACCGTCTACAGAACCAAACTCTCTTTCATGTGCACGGGTAAGAATTTCCTTGTACAGTGTTTCTGCTTGCTTGAACTTTCCTTGTTTTAGATAGCAAGATGCCTTAAAATAAAATAAGATACAATATTGAGTATCCTTCCTATGTAAACAAAGCATACATTTTAATCTCCAGGTTAAACTATGAAACATTTGGATTCTGGGAAGCGACACTCTCGACCGCACCCCTTGCACCATGCCTCTGCCAACGTACCAGGTTATTTTTCGTCTTGGCTACATTGGGGTCATCAGGTCCCAGTTTTGTCTGGTAGATCTCAAGGGCTCTTTGATAATAATACTCCACCTCTTCGTATTTGCCCTGGTTCTGGCACAGTAAGGCCAAATTATTCAACTGCTTAGCGACATCAGGGTGATCCTTGCCCAAAACCTGGAAATAAAACACTAGGTCAGAAGTGAGAACAGCACAAACACTAGGGCAGCTTCGTGCTCCCCCTACTGCACCAAGAAGTTTTCTGCAACAAACAGAACTGTGCCACACTTTCAGACTTAAATTCCTTAAAGGGCTCCCCAAACCATGTAATAAAAATAACCAGAATTGGGGCGGAGCCTGTGGCTCAAGGATTAGGGCACCGGCCTCAAATGCTGAGAGTGGTGGGTTCAAACCCAGCCCTGGCCAAAAAACTGCAAAAAAAAAAACAAAACAGAATTTCTCAAATTCTCATTCTTGATGGGATGGAAGGAACTGTGCTCATTTTCTTCAGCTGCTTTAAGTTGTTCAATTCTCACCGTAATCCTTCATGGTAGGAAGGCACCACTATTACACAAGGTGAAGATGAGGAAACTGGTTCATAACGACTGTGTTAGTCTAACTGCCAGGTCTGGGAAGAGCCAAACTCCCTCTCAGACACTCTCCTCCTGGCCCTCTCAGCTAGCAGCCTCTTAGAGGCCCTCATGGCCTCTCTGCAGTCCTCTTAGAGGTCTGACCTCCCTACCTCCAGGTTAAGGAGTCCTCACCACACCCAGTTAACTCACAGGCTATCACCTGGTTGTTCATTCCGTCTTTACAAGAATCACTACCCAAACTATCTTGACTCTCCTTTACTGCCTGATTCACACCCAGGGTCCACATTCTCAGTCTTCCTCAGCAACACGATCTCAGCCTCCAGAAAGGGGCCTGGCACACAGACGGTGAGTCAAACCCTGCCTACTCCCTCGGGGCCTCTTCTTTATTTGCCTAAGAGACAAGCTTTCGCTCTGCCCAGGCTGGAGTTCAGTGACATAATCGCAGACCAGTATAACCCCAAACTCCTGGGCTCACTCGATCCTCCTGCTTCGGCCTCTGACCCAGTTAGGACTACAGGTGAATGCCATCATGCCTGGCTAATTTTATAAAACTTTTTTGTAGAGACAGGTGCACAGGCTGTTGCCCAGGCTGATCTCAAACTCTTAGTCTCAAGCAATCTTACCCAGTTTAGCCTCCCAAAGTGCTGGGATTACAGGTACGAGCCACCGTGCCCAGCCCATTTAGGACCCTGAACAAGTGATCTGTTCTCTCCACTTTGTGCCTTTATGTATGTGGTCCCAGGGAGGCCAGCTGCCCCTCCTCCTCTTTCTGCATTTCCTATCTCTGTCTGCCTAGGAAACTTTTAACTCAGTTATTCAAGACGCAGTTCAAACACTAAGCTTCTCTGGGAAGCTCTCCTCCAGAGCCCCCCAGCCCTGGGCCTGGAGAAACCCCACTCCCCACTCTGCCAAGGTTCTGTCCTAAGGTTGAAGCAGCCCAGGTCTGCCCAGTGACCTGTGCTCCCCAGTAGGAGGGACAGCATCTGATTAGTCCATCACTGACACTACTAAGCAAGGGCTCTGAAGGCATGAAAGAGTAAACACACACATGGATTTGGCAAATCCACTGACACAGCTCCCAGTCCTTTAACGTGACCCGTTACGCTGTCCCTGGTTCACCAGCAGCCCACTCCAGTCTGACCACTGTATTCAGAACCACCATGCAGTGGGCAGCATGAGAACACACCCCCTGCATAATCCGACGGTGAACCTCTTTCCATTTTATCTCCCCCAGTTCCTTATAAGGCTCAAAATCCAGTGATTAGCCTCCTAGTGACACTGATAAATAATTACAAAAACTACCAAGATAAAAGATTACCCTTGGCCTTTCATGGGCCACCTGACACGTGACTCTCTGTAACATCTGAATACACCATCACACAGAGAACTGCGGAAATGGACAAGTTACATTTTTCCAATACCTGATTACCATAAACTCCAACAGCTGGTATGAAACAGCCATGCCATTGACTTCATCTATAGCTAAGAGTTAATCTTTGAATCTGAAAATAATTATTTCAATTTTTAAGCTTCAAAAAGCATATATGATGATTTTTTTTTTTTTTTGAGATGGGCTATGGCTCTGTTGCCTGGGTGGCATCAGCCTATTTCACAGCAGCCTCAAACTCCTGGGCTCATACAATCCTCCTGCTTTATTTATCCTCTCAAGTAGCTAAGACTATAGGCTTCTGCCACTATACTTGGCCAGTTTTTCTTTTCTCTTCTTTTTTTTTGCGGTTTTTGTCTGGGGCTTGGTTTGAACCCACCACCTCCAGCATACAGGGCCAGCGCCCTACTCCTTAAGCCACAGGCGCAGCCCAGTTTTTCTATCTTAAGTAGAGACAGGGTCTTGATCTTGCTCAGGATGGTCTCAAAATCCTGAGCTCGAGAGATCCTCCTACCTTGGCTTCCCAAAGTGCTGGAATGACAGATGTGAGCCACTGTGCTTGACCTAATGAATTTATTTTTAAACTGCAGTGTTTTTCTCACTGACAAGCACATGTTCTCCTGTCAGATGTAATGCCCCAGGCTTCCACCTCTAATCCTCAGAAACTCCTCAGGGAAAGTCATTTCTAGGCCACACTGGGCAGGGCAGGGCAGACTCTGCCTGCACCTTCCCAAATGCTCACTTCTCAGGACTGGGTCCTAAACATGGATTTGTTCAGTCCAGTCTGGCTTTGCTTTAAGGGCTATGTGCCTTATTAAATAAGTTATTTCCAGTAAACAATCAGTAGTAACACATCGCAGTAGTTATTTCTCAAAATGTAAAACTGAAATATTTTTTAAAAAACACACAAAGAGACAGCACCTGTGGCTCAGTGGGTAGGGCGCCAGCCCCATATACCAAGCATGGCGGGTTTGAACCCGCCCCGGCCAAACTGCAGCAAAAAAATAGCCGGGCACTGTGGCGGGTGCCTGTAGCCCCAGCTACTCGGGAGGCTAAGGCAAGAGAATCGCCTAAGCCCAAAAGCTGGAGGTTGCTGTGAGCTGCGATGCCACAGCACTCTACCTAGGGTTACAAAGTAAGACTCTTGTCTTAAAAAAAAACAACTAAATCTCAGAGAGCAAGAATCCTTCCTCCTTTGTTACCTTTTCTCTGATCTCCAAAGCTCGTTTACACAACGGTTCAGCTTCTTTGTACTTTCCTCTTTTACCATAAAGGACCGCAAGGTTGTTCAAAGTTGCTGCCACCTACCAACACAGAGGACAACTAAGAATGGTAAAAAGGAACAAAAGAAAGCATATTTATACATCACACGTTCGTCTCCCTCACTCTGCAGAAAAAAGCACTCTGAACTAGGTAAAAGAATGTGACTTCAGTTAAAAGGGAAAAAGCAAGTCACCATACTACAGATTACACAAAGTCACACTGCAGAACACTGAAATTAAACAAATCAACGTGAACATGATCTTAATTTCTTCTTATTTCCCTGGAAGCCAAAAGCCACCAACACAGATTGGTAAACAAATTTAAATAGATTGTAATAAAAAGAGAACATAATTCTTCCGGAAAAAATTTCTGAAAGTACATGCAATTTGATTAAGGATCAAAAAATACAGCAGTTGATCCATTCGAGGTGATGTTTACAAACGAGGTAAGTGCATGTCAGAGGCCGAACAGCAGAGCCGTCCACAGGGGCTGCCAGGTGCGCAGTAAGGGAGGGTCCTACCTGCACCAGGGAAAGGCAGCGCGTGAGCTTTCCCTGTTGAGGTCAATATTAAAATGAGTTGGATAAAATAAACAGATTGGGGAAAATAAGATATAAAAAGAATAAAAGAACCAGATGTACAAACCGCAGGATGATCTTTGCCCAAAGTCTTTTCTCGGATAGCCAAGGCATCATTCAGTAGATTAGCTGCATCTTTGTATTTATTTTGATCCCTAAATTAAAAAACACACATTAAGATATAAATTAATACATGTCCTTAAAATATAATTTTGGAACTACAGAAATAAAAGTTAAGTTTCTACTATTAAAAAAAAAATGTGCAAGGGGAAAACCTTGGAAGAAAATTCATCAACACATGTGCTGGGCTCAGAGAGGCTGCTCACACCTGGAACCCAGCACTCTGGGAGGCCCAGGTGGGTGAACTCGCCAAACTCAGGAGCAAGAGTGAGACCCCCATCTCTAAAAATAGCTGGGCATTATAGCAGGCACCTGTAGTCCCAGCTACTTGGGAAGATGAGGCAAGAGGATCACTTGAGCCAAAGAGTTTGAGTTTGCTGTGAGCCATGACACCACAGCACTCAACCCAGGTAGACAAAGTGAGACTGTCTCAAAATAAAAAAAACATTTACTGGCAAAGTGAGCTCTGGAATCAGGCTCAATGACTTGGGAGCGTGTCCCTCCCACCAACACTGGACAATGCTGCTCCCTCACTGCAGCACTGTGCCAGAGGCCTGCGCAGCAACTAGAACAAGGGGCAGAGCCCACACTTGGTGTCTAGGGAACTGAACCAGTGTCGAGCCCAGGCTCTCCCAGTAAAGGGCAGTGTGGCTCTAAGCAGGTCACGTAGCCTCAGAAGTCCCAGCCTTCCCCTCTGTGCAGCAAGTCTGTTACCTAACTCACACTGTCACTGTAAGCACAAAATACCAATACACTACATATTCACTTAAAAAGCCTTTTTAAAAAAGTGAACAAAAGTAAATACATTATAGTGTCTTAGTTGGCCCCCACTGTGAATTAGGACGAATAAAGGATCTTTTTTTTGAGACAGTCTCACTTTGTCTCACTCAGTAGAGTGCCGTGGTGTCACAGCTCACAGCAACCTCAAACTCTTGGACTTTAGTGATCCTCTTGCCTCTTCAGCCTCCTGAGTAGCTGGACTAAGGCTCCCACAACAACACCCAGCTATTAAAGGATCTTTTCTGATAGCAGTAAAACTGCAACACCCCAGACCCTCTCAGTTTAAATGTGCCACTCACTGCTGATGTGACTACCAACAATATTTCCTTCTGAGACTTGGTTTGTGTATTTCTCAACTGAGTAGTGACACCTGCCCAGCAAGCATTTGCCCTGCAGAACACAAGAAGGATTTGATTCACGAGGCTTCCAGAACCTCTGAGACACACTATTCTAGCCAAGTATACTGCTGGGTTTTTAGAGTCAATCATCCTATTATACATTGGAAGTTGCCTCAAACTTTGTGAAAGACAGCAAGTACTAACTGAAGTTTCAAAGACTGATAAATGCAATTTAAAAAAAAACTACCTAAGAGTGTTGTGAGAACTAAGTGAGACAAGGTGTCCTAAGCATTTGTGTAAACTACAACGTGTCATAAAATGTCTGGAACTGTTAATTATCAGGAGTTCTCTTGTGTGGCCTCAACTGACAGCAATCAGCTTCAAATGGAACTTGCAAAAAAACCCAGACCTCCCCAAGACCTGCTCAGTCAGGAACTCTGGGAATGGGGCACAGAACACTGTAGTTTAACAAGCCCACCAGAAAATTCAAAGTCAAAATGAAAAAAATATATATAACATTATAAGCATTAAAATTCCTATAGAAAAATGGGTACAATAATAGAAAACTCATAGGATACAAATTATTGAAAACAAATAATCAGGCTTGGCGCCTGTAGTTCAGGGGTTAGGGCGCCAGCCACATGCACCAGGGCTGGTGGGTTCAAACCCGGCCCAGGCCAACTAAACAACAATGACAAATATAACAAAAAAAATAGCCAGGCACTGTGGCAGGTGCCTGTAGTCCCAGATACTTGGGAGGCTGAGGCAAGAGAAATCACTTAAGCCCAAGAGTTTGAGGTTGCTGTGAGTTATGACACCACAGCACTCTACCGAGGGCGACACAGTGAGACTCTGTCTCAAAAAAATAAAAAATAAAAAATAAAATCATATTCTGGGAGGCAGAGATGGGTGGATTACTTGAGCTCAGGATTCAAGACCAACCTGAAAGAGAGAGACCCCATCTCTACTAAGAACAGAAAAAGCCAGGTGTGGTGCCTCATGTCTATAATCCCAGCACTCTGGGAGGCCAAGGCAGGTGGATTGCCTGAGCTCATAGGTTAGAGACCAGCCTGAGCCAGAGGCAGACCTCGTCTCTAAAAATAGTCGTAGTGGCTGCCTACCGTCCCAACTACTTGGAAGGCTGAGGCAAGAGAATTGCTTGAGCCCAAGAGTTTGCAAATGCTATGAACTATGACGCCAGAGCACTCTACCAAGGGTAACAAAGTGAGATTCTGTCTATAAGAAATAAAAAAAAAAAAAAAATAGAAAAACTGCCAGATGTGGTGGCAGGTGTCTAAAGTCCCAGCTACTCAGGAGGCTGAGACAAGATGACTACTCACCCCCAAGAATTTGAGGTTGCTATGAGCTATGAAGATGCCAGGGCACTCTACCCAGGGCAACAGTGTAAAACTGCCTCAAAAATAAATAAATATAGAGGGTTCAAACCCAGCCCGGGCCTGCTAAACAAAAATAAATAAATAGATAGAGATAAATAAACATATAATCAAATAAAAGGGCCAGTGGCTCACGCCTGTATTCCTAGTTCTCTGGGAGGCCGAGGTGGGAGGACTGCCTAAGCTTAGAGGAGTTCAAGACCACCCTGAATCAGAGCAAGACCACATCTCTAAAAATAGCCAGGCATTGTGGCAGGTGCTTGTGTCCCAGCTACTTGGGAGACTGAGGCAGGAGAACTGCTGTGAGCAGTGACACCACAGTACTCTACCAAGAGTGACATAGTGAAACTATGTCTCAAAAAAAACAAGAAGAAATGCAAATTAAAACACAATGCTGTCCAGGCATGGTGGCTCATGCCTGTAATCTCAACACTTTGGGAGGCTGAAATGAGAGGACTGGTTGAGGCCAAGAGTTCAAGATAGAAGGCGGAGAGAGGCTCAGCACCTGTGGCTCAACCGGCTAAGGCGCCAGCCACATACACCTGAGCTGGCGGGTTCGAATCCAGCCCAGACCCGCCAAACAACAATGATGACTACAACCAAAAAAAAATAGCAGGGCGTTGTGGTGGGCACCTGTGGTCCCAGCTACTTGGGAGGCAGAGGCAGGAGACTCGCTTGAGCCCAGGA